TCTCTCTCTCTCTCTCTCTCTCTCTCTCTCTCTCTCTCTCTCTCTCTCTCTCTCTCTCTCTCTCTATCATATCATATATTTAATTTGATAGCAGAAAATTGATATAAATATTTATAATATATCTAAAATGATACAAATATAAGGGGTATTATAAGTTATAATTAGTAATAAAGGATAAGATTTCAGTACACATAATACAGTGTGGATGTGAAGTGCACTCGAAAATGTTATAAATTATTAAGTAATTACAATAATTACAATGATTTGTGTATAAAACATATACTGTCATTGATATGACCGCAAAAGTGAAGGGTTGGGGGTTTAGGGTTAGGTTAACGTTATATACTTTGCATTGGAGTGAATGTTGCAGTTATGGTGAATATCATATTTGACATTCACTGCAATGCAAAGTATGTGACCCCCGGGCCATCACATCTGCTAATTGACGCACACATCACAGTGCGATCACACGCTGTATTTGGTTCTCTTGGCTAATGATAGAAATGGTTATACCTCTGGATGTGTCTGAGATCACAGTCGGCCTCATTGTCGTCGTATTTGTCGAACCAAATCTCCAACAGTTTCTCCGTTCCCTCGAAGAAGTGGCAGAAGGAGGAAGTGCTCGAACTGTTCATATTCGCCAAGAACTAGATATTGATGTTGAGGTTCACAAAAAATTCACACTAATATATATAACAGTAAATCACTTCATGAATGCATAGCTATGATAGGGTAGTGCACACAGTGTCACACACTGAGCAAGTGCTAGAATGTTCACGATCTATCAACAGGAGGACAATATGCAAACACCGTTAGTATCCTAAACCTAAAGTTCCCAATAAGACTGTAGTGTACCTAACTGTAAACGTGAAGTTTCGCAGATTAATCCGAGTAAGTTAGAGATGCGCGCGCGATGTTCCCACTTACCGGATATATTTGCTAACTATCTAGCTAATACTATCTGGCTAGTAAATTCTAGCAATGGGTATATACTTGATTACAATTAAATAAACAAGTTACCAAAATTGAATATTTTATTGAACCGCGACTATATAGTAATAATTACTAAATAATTAAGTAATAACGCTATAAACTTTATCACTTATTTGGAATGAGTAAATATTCAATATTTAATATTGTGATTAGTACTTATAATATGTTTAATTTGAATTAATTAGTTGTAATCAACCAAATACCCCTTGGCACATTTCTTAACCACAATTAAATTTAAAAAATGTTTTATATTGTGCGGTCACTCCTCCTCTTCCCCACCCTCTATGGGATCGCAGCTTAAATCTATGCTAAACTTTACTGTTTAAGTGTTTAATGAGCCGAGCGTTTAATCTAACGGCACTATTTTATTATAGGGGTAGATATGGGGGCGAAAATTACCGATCATATGAAAGCATGCTGTGTAGTAAAAAGTTGCCGTTGTTAATAGCTAGATCGGTTTAGAATTTCATGAAGAATAAGCCTATATCTGGATTATCTGGATCTATGTGGATTTGCTTAATTATAACTTATAATTTATAAGTGCAATCGGGAATATTCCCTTTTTAGCATTTAACAAAAATTCATTATAAGATTGTAATCTATAGCATTAAATTAAAATATTTTAAATGTTTTGCTTGAATTAAATACCTGTACCTTAATTACATTTAAAAGGTACTCACTGAAAATCACATTCATCGATTCAAATAAAATTATATTACATAACAATATTACATAAGAATGACATTTAATAAAACTTGATATTAAGCCAATATTATTAACACATAAAAATGAACTTAACCCCCGATCATTATAATGCATTATAATTATTAATAAATTAACTTATATTAATGTTTAGCAATTAAGTTATATCAATGCTAAAACTTATTTATGAATATTGATAATTATATTACATTTGTGAACGACAGGTATTATGTTTGTAAAGGTATAGAGGATTTTAACCTAGAATTAAATTGCAATTTATATTTGACACTCAATTCTATACACACTTTCCCAGAATATACTGGACATGAATAAGTGATCCAATTTGGCCCCTATTTAAGTCACTAACTTTACAACACATCCAATCATAGACACAGTCTTAAAATGTAATCTAAATAAGACTTTCATACTATTTGTGTAAATATGAAATAAATTGGATTTTTAAATAAAATTATTGTTAAATTGAAACAAATTAATTGTTTAAATTAAACCATTTATTATTTACATGTTTTACAAGAGATTCGTATAATAATATTGAATTACAATAAATTACAAATAAATTAAATTAATTACTTAATTAATAGACAATAAGTTATTGTCAATAACCTGTTGGGAGGCGGGAGTGGAGGGAACGGGCAATTCGTAATCTACTGTATTGAATATGGTATTAATCGTGCGGACCTCTAACAGCATTTTGGTATTTATAACTATACCGTACGTGTGAATGGGTTTCTGCTGCAGACCTCTATCGATAGCGATAGTCTCATATATAGAGTGAGTGGTTATTATTGATGTGATTATTGTTATTATGCTTACAATTATTGCTATTTTATGATTGTTGTGATTATGACTGATATATAATTTATTGATTGCAATATTAATAAGGATTGTAATGAAAACTAAATGCCAACGAATGGCATGTGTTGTGTGTTGTCATGAATAGTGGCAATCATTGCCAATAATATTGTGAGTCATTTCAAACGGCTATATATTCGGTGTATATGTTTGTGTTGGACAACAAAATGACCATGGTCATCACCACACATTGTACGCGCACGTGTCAACAATATACCATGATCATGTTTTGATCTAGACGCTTGACCAAGCTCATATTTTAGTGGTTAGTTACTTGTGTTTCTCGATGTGATGTCTGAACAACGCTTATATGTCTAGTGTTTGGCCGCCATTACCGCCGCTGAGCGCACACTACTAGTGGACACAACTCACGTATTACTGACCGACGAGACACGTGTTGGCCACTCGACGCACTCCCACAACAACACTGAGTGGTCTGACGGCCGGTTGTGCTGATCGCCATGTCTTCAGCCCAGACATCGATGTATGCCTGCACTCGATGTAACTCAAGACATCCCTTTGAAGAGCTTTCACAGGGACAACAACTCTGCAAAGTATAACCATCTCTCTCTCTCTCT